AAATTTTATTATTCAAATCCTAACTCAAATTAAAATTCAAACCCTCGAACCATACTCGGTAATTCTTTTTTAAGTTTGATTTTTATTTTTTTACCAATTTTATATAAAAATATACTACCTCCGTCCACAAACTAATGTCCTACTTTCCTATTTGGGACGTCCAACAACTATTGTCCTATTTTTTTTTAAACACAAATTTTACATTTTTACCCTTCATTCATTTATTACTTTTAATCTCTATCATACAATTAAGGGCAAATTTTTCGATTCATAACAAAAAGACAATTATCTAAAAAATCGTGCAAATATATTTTAGGACAATAGAAATTGGACGGAGAGAGTATTATTTTTTTGTTAAAAAAAAATAATTATTCAAATAAAAAATTAAAATAAAAAATAAAAGTCGATAAAGAACATGTACGAATTAATTGATATTAAAATAAAAAGATTGCTAGTCCTCTCTAGATTCCTTCCCCAAAAAGAATCAATTCAAAAATGAGTTGGTGATCGATCAAGGACAACCTTAGCTTTGCAAAACTACACACACCCATTAAATATATTATTATTATTATTATTATTATTATTATTATATGAAGATATGCTTTGTAAAGCTTATTTGCATAATGTAGTGATGATGAGGTGTGAGGAATTTATATATATACCTCCCTCCCCCCACCCCCCCACCCCCCTCTCCCCCCACACACACACCCACATGGATGTGTGTGTGTGGATGTAATTAGTGGGTGCAAGAATCACAAAAAAGAAGTGGCAAAAAATAAAAGCAAGTTGAGAATAGATACATACAGCCCTAATTGTATGTATCGTGTATATATTATATATATATAAATGAGTGTGTAATTTTTGTATTTTTGGATTAATTTTTTATATTAGGTATGAAGAATCGCATTGTACTGTTTGATTTTTACACGAAGTTTTAGGAATATTAGTATTATATCAGAGTGTTGTATAAATAAAATTAAAAAAAAAAATTAAAATAACCTTATTAATACGTGTGAAATAAAGGTAATGACATTTGTATAAGATATTGTAAGTTGTAAGGGTATTTTTAATGTTCGTAGAAAGTACAACGATTAAAAAAAATGAATACTTTGTTATAAGACGGATCAAAATAGAAAAATAAATAGATTGTTAAAGAAGGAAGAGAGTAAATAATGTTTTGTATTGAATTATTAATTTTTTATGGATGAATAGAATATATATATATATATTAGTATGTTAATTTATATTGTATTTTTTATAATATTTATGAAGAATTATATCATTTTAAAAAAATTGAGTGAACAAACCTGATATATATATATTGTAAGTATTTTAGATCTTAAAATTAGTATACAATAACTAAATAAAAAAATAAGTATATATTGAATGTGATGATGTTACACATAAAAATTAGGGGTTTATTTGGTTGTGTTTTGGAATAACTAAGTTTTAAATTATACTCCATCAGACATCCAAATCTATGCTCGCTTTTTTTTTTGGGTTGTCATCAAAAAAATATTCTTATTTTATTTTTAAGTAAAAAATTATTCCACTTTTGTACTATTTTTCAAAATTAACAATTATTACTCACTTTTATTAGAATATATGCCCGGTCAAATGAGTATACATTTGCATGACTGAAAAAATAGTAATAATTATTTAATATAATATAAAAAATTAATTAATATGTGTGTAAAAATTTCATTGTCAAAACTTTACAGGTGGAATTTGGGAAAAGGATGGAAGCTTTCATGCAAGCAGTAGCTTTATAAAGTATACAATATAAGTATAATTTTATATAATATATATATATATATTCCACTCTATTAATATATATATATATATAATTAATAAAAATATATATTTTTGTACTAGTTCATTCTTGGAGTAACACCATGCACCACCTACCTAGGGTTTCTTATTCTTCAATCATATATCATAATTCGCTAATCCAAAGATATGAGAATGATCTAAGTATTTGCTTTTTCAAAATACATTTTATAAATAAATAAATAATAATACATAGCAAAACATATTTTAAGAGGTCTATTGATTATTATTACTATTATTATTATTTGTTTAAATATTTAGATAAAATAGTTTCAAAATATAATATTCTATATAAAAAATAAAGGATAAACTGTTTTTTTAGTCCCGTAACTGGACCCCTTTATTATTCTAGTCCTGTAAATGGAACCTGTCGCAAACTAGTCCCATAAGTGAAAAATTTTCGTTGTTTCAGTCCTCCGGCGAGCCACGCGGGCATCTCCGGCGCCGGGGCAGACACGTGGATTTTTTTATTTTTTTTCATTTTTTTAAAATTTTTTTAAAACTTATTTTAAATTTTATTTGTATTTTTTATTTTTTTATTTGGTCCAATTAAAAAAAATAAAAAAATAAATAAATAAATAAATAATCTACGTGTCCGCCAGGTGTCGCTGACCTAGACACGTCACCTCCGGCGAGCCACGCAGGCGTCTCCGGCGCCGGAGGACTAAAACAGCAAAAATTTTTCACTTATGAAACTAGTTTGTGACATATTCCACTTACATGACTAAAATAATAAAGGGGTCCAGTTACGAGACTAAAAAAAAATTTACTCTTAATATTATAATTCTTACATGTTTTATAAATAAATAAAAAAATGCGTATTTTTAAATTAAAAAATTATTTCATAGTAATAATAATAATAATAATGAAATTAAAGTCGAAAATAAATAATATCATCTATATAAGTCCATTTGTGAATTAAAAGTTTATGTTACGTATGTTGAAGAAATTCAACATACAAATGTCGAAATTAAATGCAATGAAATGGCAAAACCAATATGTCCAAATTCATTACTGCAAAGGTCTTGTTTGCCCCAATCTGACAATCCTAAATATGGAAATGTCGTTTCCATTTCAAACACTATCCTAAATTGAACAACATCGACAAAATTGAGTAAGATATCGACAAACACTTTTCGTCTCGTTATAGTTTTGTTAGTACAAATACTCCAAGTGAAAACAATAAGTAATAATACATTCGGCCCCGCATCGATCGCCAACAGCCGATTCGAGATATCGACATGTCTCAAAACCTGATATAAAGTTTAGGGTAAACTGTTTTTTAATTTCGTAACTGAATCATTTTAGTTTTGTAAGTGTGACATGTCACAAACTAGTCTTATAAGTGAATTTTTTTTGTTGATTTAGTCCTCCGGCGCCGGAAACGCTAGCGTAGCTCGCCGGAAGCCATCCGCCAGATCAGCGACACCTGGCGGACACGTGGATTTTATTTTATTTATTTTAATTTTTTTTTCAATTGGACCAAATAAAAAAAAATAAAAAAAAACAAATAAAATTAAAATCAATTAAAAAAAATAATAAAATCCACGTGTCCGCCGGGTCTCGCTGACCTGGCGGACACGTAGCTTCCGGTGAGCCACACGGACGTCTCCGGCGCCAGAGGACTAAAATAACGAAAATTTTTCACTTATGGGACTAGTTTGTGACATGCTCCACTTACGAGACTAAAATGATAGGGGTCCAGTTACGGGACTAAAAAAATAGTATACCCTACAATTTAATACTCTCTCCATCTCATATAAATAGTAACATTTATTTTTTGAACGTAGATTTTTCAATATTAATATTAAATTAGGTTGGAGTAAAAAAGACGAAAGTATCGTTATTAGTATTGTGTAATATAAATGTGGTAGCATTTGTGTAATATATTGTAAGTTGAAATGATATTTATTATGTTAGATATATAGTACAGTTACTAAATTAGGAAATGATAATTTATTTTTTTTCTTTTTTTTGTACAGACGAAAATAGAAAATAAAACCTTCTTATGGGACAGAAGGAGTACAATATTTACAATACATGATATATAGATATAAAACACACTGACGTACAGTTAAACAATATAAAGTTTATGTTAATATAATACAATTGCAACATATAACTAACAGTATGTAATATAATTTCATATAACACATTGTTGGAGTGCAAATTAAAATATTTGAAGAAAAATCTGCATCTTATAAGACTCATATAAATTCCACTATTATTATAAGATTTTTGTGGTGAAAGTTAAAAAATAAATTTGTAAGATCACGAGTTCATCCCCACACCGTCAAACTATCTCTTACGGGATCAGTATTTTATTAATTAGTTGAAGTGTATAAAATTTTTGTATATTTTTGTCAGTTGACTTTATGTGTAAAGTGGTTGTATATATATAAGTATATTTGTAAGTTAAAAAAAAATTAAAGATTTTTTTATATCAATATATAGTTACTATTATTAAAATAAAAAAATAATATTTTTAAGTGAGATAGACGAAAATAATAAAAAAAAACAATAACAAATTTTAAAATGATAAATAAAACAAAATAAAGAAATGCTCCCTCCGATCCATATTAAATGAATCATTTGGAATTTTGTAATAGATTATGAAATAATAGTATTTTATTAGTTAGTGTAAGTGTGTAAGAGATTTTGACAATTTTGTCATTTACTCTAATATGTGTAATGATATTTAAATAAAAGTTAAAGAGTATTTTAATATTAGTGTATGATTACTTTTTTTTTTTAAATATAAAATGGATATTTTGAAGTAAATGAACAAAAATGATATTTTAAAAAATGACAAAGAAAATACAAATTAATAATATAAAAATAATTTGTAAAGTTCTCTTAACAAATATTTTGATTTGAATTTAATTCTTTTAAAATTTAATTTAAATAATACTATTTTATTGTACAAAAACTCCCTCCATTCCCTGTTATGCCCATCTTGCCATTTTGTTCACATCTTATATCACTTTTTTTAAAAAAAAAAAATAATTACACTTAATTAATTTTTTTTATTAATATATTTTAAATTATTTTATAACCCGACATACAGGATGAAATATTTTATAATTTTGATTTAGGACGAAATCAATCAAAAACCAATAATTTCATTCGGGGACATAGAAGCAAAAAAGATTATACGAGACAAATCAAAGTAAGACAAAGGCAAGAAAATTTCCAAAAGTGGGAAATCGAAACATTCTACTAGAAACTAAACAAACACAGTCAGTCCATCATCATCATCATCATCATCGGATTCTGCTAAAGCTATATCGACATGAAAATGAAGCTAAAACAAACACCAAATTAAAGCCAAACCAATCCCTAATCCCACCAAAAACTAAACTTCCATTCCATCTTCTTCCTCACCTCTCTCATAAAAACCTAAACCAAACCAGACCTTACCTTCTTCCATCTATGGACACGACACTCACAGCCATATCGAAACCTTAAAAACTCCGAGCCACCGCCTTACAAACAAGCGGCTGTTCCATTTCCAACGACAGTTTAAGGTTCTCCGACAAATCCACACGGTGCTTGTCCGATTCGATCCAATCAAAGTTCCTAAGCAATTGCGCGAGCCACAGCTGGACTGTTGCCAGCCCCATCGTCTTCCCCGGGCAGACCCGCCGCCCGGATCCGAACGGGGCAAGCCTCAGGTCAGACCCCATTACGGCCACATCAGCAATTAGAAATCGCTCTGGTCGGAAAATTTCCGGATCGGGCCATATTTTGCTATCGTGGGTTATTGACCACATGTTGACCATTGCCGTGGTCCCCGCCGGGATAAAGTGGGGCCCCAAAAAGGTGTCGTCAATCGCGAGACGGGCCCACGAGAGAAGCGGTCCCGGAGGATGGACCCGGAGAGTCTCTTTGACTATGGCTTGGAGGTATGGAAGGTTTGCGAGATCAGAATCGGTTATTTTTCGATTGTCGCCGCCGATCGCGCGGTCGATCTCCGATTGCGCCGCGATTTGGATGTCGGGATGAATCACCATTCTTGCGAGAATCCATTCTAAGAGAATCGCCACCGTATCGGTACCTCGGAAGATCATTTCCTAAGTATGTAATAAAAATAAAAATGTTAAATTGATCGTGTCGCCTGAAAGTTCAAACTCAAGCTCAGTTCCTAAGTATGTAATAGATATAAGAATGTTAAATGATCATCTCGCCTAAAAAAGCTCAAGTTTTATAAAAGCTACAAGCAAATACATTTTTAATTGCATATTGTATTATATAGTGTTATGATAATACAAAAAGGTTATTCCTTTAAGCATTGTTTGGATAAACATTTTCGATTTTTTAGTAAAAATTATATGGATGTTGCAATCACCATTAAAAATGAAGATTCTCCACAATTAAAATGTATATGCACAAAATTGGAATAACAGGGAAAAAGCATATATGCAATTCCAACATATATATCTGAAAAAATCACAATCAAAAGATGCAAAAATAGATATGTATATATTCCTTAAAACCCATATATTATTTATTAAATAATTATCTCAAATATCAACAAAAGAAAAGAACAAAATGCATGAAAGAAAAACAGTACAACATGTAGGTAACAAATGCATGTTGCCTGGAATTAATATATGTACAAAAAAAGGATTTTTATTTAATTTTTAAAAAAAATAATTTATTTTTTTTAGAAAAAAAAAAGAAAGGGTTTCTGCAAGAATGAACAAAAAGATTTTTACCCAAAGAACAGCGATCATGTCGGAATCAGACAGACGATTCTCCTTGTGTTCTAAATCGAGCAAAACATCGACAAAGTCCTGAGAATGATGATCATGATCGACGGGAAGTTTGGATCTTTTCATACGATGCTCGTCGATCATCTTTCCGACGAATGCATTTACTCTTCCGACAAGTTTCTTACTCCTCTTTCTCACTCCTTGCAAGTCCAGAAACCCTAAAATCGGAAAATAATCCCCCAAATTGAACATACCCAGCAATTCGTAACCTTCTTTAACGAGCCACTCAAGCTCGAGACCACCGTCTGCGGCGGCGCCGCCGCCGGAGAAATCGTAGCTCTTACCGAACACGGTGGTCATGACATTGTTGAGGGACGCGAAGTGGAGGAGATTTTTTATTTCGACGACATTGTCGGAAGCCATTCTCGTCTTGATTTCCTCCACCATTTTCAGACCGATTTCCTGCCGGAATCTCCCGAAGCCCGCCACTCTCGCCGGACTGAACAAATGCGCCGCCGCGATCCGCCTCAAATTCCGCCAGTACTCTCCGTACGGCGCAAACCCCATTGCCCGATCGAACAGCAGTCCGTACGCCGATTCCTTGACCGGCCGGTTCGCGAAAGCCGAGCTGTTGAGAATCTCTCGGGCGGTTTCCGGCGAACCGGAGATGACGTGGCGGCGGAGCCCGACGGAGAAGGCCATCAGCGGCTCGGCCTTTGAGGATTTCGCGAGAGCGGAGAGAGCTCTGTGAGTTAGCGAATTTGTGAAGGGCAAAATCAGGCCTAAGATAGGGAGGCCCGCGGGCCCTGGGATCGCGGGCCGGGGCTGAGCCCGGGCCCGTGACAAAGCCCATGCGAGGCCGCCGGGAGTGAGCCAGAAGGCGAAGACGGCGGCGAGGAGGAGGAAGCAGAGGGAAGCCTCGGCGGAGGAGCAGCCGGAGAATGGGATGAAGAAGGATGTGAAATATTCCGGCGACGGCGGCGGCGACATTGGAGCCGGTTTTTGGTTTTTTTTTTTTTTTTTTCACACACTCTTTCAGGCGGCGGTGGCGACGGCGGAAGGTGGGCGGGTAGTTGAATCTGAAAGGTTTACTGTGTGGTGTGCGTGAGAGAGAGAGAGCGGGAGGAGTGAGAGAGGGTGGAAACGAGGAGACGAAGAGTGTGACAGAGGTGTATATATAGAGGAATTTCTTGATTGTTCTACCCGAGGTCCCGGGAGTTCGACGCCTGGATTGATCTGGGCCGTTTGTTTTGGAGGAGGAGTGGTGGGAGCTTGGAGTCCCGGGAGTGTGGGGGTTTGTGGGACGTATTTGCCTTTTACCAGAGGTAAGAGGGGAAGTGGTGAATTGATTTGATTATTGATAATTAATTATTTATTAACTCTAAATTGATTGCGATTAATAATAATAATATGTAATTAATTAGGGGTTTTGTTTTTATTTATTGGCTATTTTATTGAATTTAATTTTATTGTGAATTATAGAAGGCGTTGGAATTTGGAAAGGGTGAAGCAGAGGAAGCAGGCACTTTTGTTTTGATAATAAATAAGTTGTTCAGAAGTCTTGAAAATAGTGAGATAAATAATAAATGAATAAAAGAATTTATTTTGATTATATTGAAATTTGATAAAAAAAAAATAATAATAATTATAAAAACATGGTTCTAGTATAACTAATTTTGATTTTAATATAAATTTAAATTTTATTATGGAGACGGGGTGTAATTTAATGGCAAAGACCTTTGCCACGTTGCTACGTGTTTTCTTTTACTATGAGAACCCTATTTCCGGGTTTTCTTTTTCTGATTTGTTGTGTATTTAACAGTAGAATATTTTTGGAGATTTTCACTGTGAAATTGAAAGATTCTTTCCACCGTAGGCTATGGGAGTGTCTATAAGAAATTTTATGATTCGATTTTTTTGTTTCGTTCCATTTTTGTTAAAATAGTGGGATTTTTCTTCGTTGGATAGAAGATAGGCATTGCCAGGGTATTGTTTGGCTAGCGCCGGAGTTATTCGTCATTGTTTTAGTCTCCTATTTGTTAATAGGTTGACCTTGAAAATTTTGAATCACATCGTGTGTTTCTTAATAAAAGTTTTATTTGGTTCCTTTATAAACTTGTTTTTAGAAAGATCATTCATGTTCGAGATATTATCTTTGATGAGCAGATCTTGTATAAAAACAAGTCGAATGATGAGTGTAAAAAGAATCCAAAGATGATTGAGTTGGATATTTCCAAATACGAGCCTGAGCAGCCAAGCTCAGGATGATCGAAATGTAGCTAATGTTGAGATCAAGCCGCCTACCCTCGTTACTGAGAATGTTGAAATCTTGACAGAAGTTAATCTGAAAAGAGTGATAGCATTGAGAATATTCATGAGACAACATTGTGCGCCAGAAAGATACGCCCTTACTCTTCATTATTTACTTTTGATTGACAGTGCTGAACCATAATGTAATGCAGAAGCCAAAGCTAGTCGGGAAACTGAGTAGTGAAAACTTGTTGATAAATGAACTCTCTCATAACAAACCAAAGATGAGAGTTGAGTGAACTTTCGAAAGTTAGGAAAAAGCATTGTATAACAAGTGGATCTATAGGATTAAAGAATAAGCAAATGAGAGTACGCGATACAAGGCCAAATTGGTAGTGAAATAATATGAATAGAGATATGGCATCGACTAAACTAATGTGTTCACTCATGTTGTTAAGCTACCAACAATCCAATTGGTCTCGTTCATGGTAGCATCCGAGAACTTGGCGCTAGAAAAGTTGGATGTCAAAAAAGTTTTCCTTCATGGCGACTTGAATGAAAATATCTACATGATGCGCCAAAAGGATATGCACTTCAGGGACAAAGAAGTTTAGTATGCAAGTTGAGAAAGAGCTTATATAGCCTTAAGCAAGCACTGAGACAGTGGTATCGGAAGTTCGACGAATTCATGCATAAGATCGGCTTAAGAAAATGCAATATCAACCACAAATGCTACTTTAAGAGGTTTGAGGGTTCATATATAATATTATTATTATACGTGGATGATATGTTATTGTCAGGACCTTGTACTCGAAAGATTGCAAAGCTGAAGCAACTATTAAAGGAAAGATTCTTGATAAAGGATCTTAGAGAGAAAAAAACAAATTTTTGGCCTTTGAATAACTCAAGATTGAGATAGTAGGAGGTTGAGTCCCTCACAAGCAGAATATGTGAAAAAAAGTTTTGAGGGGGTTCAACATCAATGATGCAAAACCCGTTAACACACCTTTGGAGAGTCACTTCAAGTTGTCTAACAAGTACTCGCCAAAGAATTAGTCGAAACGTGCTGAGATGAGAAGTGTTCTATATGCATCTGCCATAGAAAGCTTGAAGTACACAATAATTGGTACATGGTCGGATATAGTACATGCAGTGAGAGAAATGAGCCGATTTATAAGCAATCATGGAAGGTAACATTGGGAATGAGTGAAGTGGATATTGAGGTATTTACGAGGCACTGAAAATAAAACACTGTTCTTTTAGAGAAGAACATATCTTAATATATTTTTACTTATGATGAGAATAATATCATGGACTTCGAAGCTGTAAAAGATGGTTGTTTTGTTGACGACAAAAGCTGAGTATATTACAGTAACATAGGCTAGTAAGGAGATAGTTAGTTGCAGAACTTCATACTTTAGTTGGGAAAAAATCCAAAAAATAGTTGTTTTACAACGACTGTCAAAGCGAAATCCATTTAGTAAAGAATTCTACATTTCATGCAAGAACGAAACATATTGAGTGGGGGTTTCACTACATTCGTAAGTTATTGGAAAGTGAGATTTTTAAACTGAAAAAGATTCCAGAATAGAAAAATACAACATATATGTTCAACCTCAATTTGATTCAATGAGTGAAAATGGAGGTTTGAAAGTCTTGCAATGACTAGTTGAAGTTAGAATGCAAAAACAAAGAATACTTGGACTTCAAGTAGGAGATTGATGTTTTGTGAAAGTTCAAATTCAAGAGTAAAAAAGTCTTTTATCTATATTTTTTACGAACTACTCATATAATATCAATATTTTTTAAATCTCATACTCAACCCAATTAAGATTATAGTCCAGAAAGAGTATTATTTTCTGTTATCAAATATAATATTAAATTCAAACTAAAATCAAATGAAGCATAAGGTTACAAAAAACAAAGATTCAGGGGGTGTATCATTACATGACTAAATGGGCTACAAAGTATAGGCCCAAATGGTTGTTGAGATACAGCCTTTTCTATTTTGGCCCAATAAAATTAAGACATAAACATATATATTACAAAAATAATTGTGTGCATTTAGTTTTATATTTCCAATAATAATAATTTATATGCATAATTTTTAATAAAGATACTCTTTTCGTTTTAGTACTCAAAACTTTTGAAACACGAGTTTAATGTGTGATATTTTTATTATTTTCTCTCTCTTAAAATAACAAGTACAATATATATTTAAAAAATAGGAATATTTTTAAATCACATACAAAAATAAAAAAATAAAAAAAATACACACACATTTTATGTGAAAAAAAATTATATTATTTATTTAATAAAATATTAAATCAAATAATTATTATACAAACTCAAACCAAATAAATCCAATTACTGTTTTTCTTTCTAATCTATACACAATTTTATATTACTTGAAAGACTACCTTTAATTGAAAAATATTTTCATCATATGATATCAAATATTTAAATAAAAATTTGAAATTAAAAAAAATTCATCCAATATATATTAATTATGGGTTTCTTTGTACAATTTTTTTTTTTTCCCAATATTCAACACAAAATATAAATTTTATGTAAATAAAAATATTATTCCCTTCGTTCTTCAAGCTTATACTATAAAAATTCCTTCTTTTTATTATCTATTAAATTTATACATTTTGTATTAATGATAAAAAAGTTATCTATTGAAAATATTTTTACGGTTCTTTTAACATATACTGTAAATAATAATTTTATCACTATAATATACTTTTACTATCATTAGTCATTTAGGGTGTTATTGTTTGGGGATTTGTATTTTGAGTTGAGATTTGAATAGTAAAAATTTTGAATTTGAATAATTGTATGATGTGATATAAATAGGTGTTGATGTGTTGTTTTAAACGTAAAATTGATTTTTAATATAATATATAAAATAAAAAATAAGTGTTTGATTTGATATTTTTAGAGGAAAAAAATTGAATGAATAGTGAAAAAAAATTCAATCTCTCAAAACAAAATAAACTTTCTAAAATATTTTCAAGTATTTTTTTTAGTTATCTTATTTTTATAATAAAATATTATTATTTTTACCTACATATTTTTTATACTTTCTCTGTCATGTAAATAAATATTTATTTGTTTTTTTGCACTTAATTTTAAAAATATTAGTATTATATTGGGATATAGTAAGAATAAAATATAAATGATTAAAATAGCTTTATTAGTACGTGTGATATAAAAATAATGACATTTGTATCCTAAATTATAGGGGTATTTATAATATTAAGTAGATAATATAGTTATTAAAAAAATAAATACTAGATAAACTAAAATAAAAAAATAGATATTTTATTATGAAACATAGGGAAATAGGAACAGTATTATTATAGTTCTCCATAATGTAAATGTTAAATAAATAAATGCTATATCCCCGATAACATCCGAGGAGCGTTGCAAGAAACTCCTATAGCAAAAAATATTTAAAATGATCCCGGACCTTCGACCAGATTATATCACCACTATTAAAATACATTACCTCGACAAAATAAACGGTCTAGATCCAATATGGCGCTCCGATCACGGAACCTCAACAAACTTATCATCACCTTCAAAATTGGTGGGCCCAGAGTCGTCGTCCCCACCAATTCCCAAATTAGGGTAAAAAAAGCCCTAATTTTGAGACCCAAATCTCAGCCATGGCATTGGCAGGCACCGTAATCGCTCAGCTATCCTCAATTCCGCGTATGGCGCAATACTGTCTGAATCAGCGCTCTCTCCCCAACAGTCATGAAAAGCGAGGCAAAGCTCGATTCCTCCATTGGCGAAGGATTTCATCTGCCATTTTAGGTAAACGATGCACTGTCAGTCAAATTTTGGCTTTTATCTCTACAGTTGGCGCTTTAAATTCCAACAATTTCGAACTTCCAAACGTAAAAAAAAAAAAAGAAGACATTACTCATCCTTCACTTCGCCACTCGCCATTGCCATTTCTGACTCCATTCCTCTTTTACACGGTTTCGCTTTTGCTTCCCCAGGAATTGAATTGCCTATACGACACATAAAACACTACTGTGCATTTCACGCGTTCTCGAGGCTTCTAAAGGTTTTCCTCCTTTTTTTTTCTTTTTTTTTTTTTTGGATTTTTCGTCCTGCGATTGTTCATCAGGGGGAGGAAACCGTCTGTAGTCGAGATTAGCAGATGAAAATGGAGCTTTTGTTGCGAGCAGGACCGCCATGGCAGCGAATCGATGGAGTGGCGTTCTTAATGGGGATATCAGTTCTCTGCATCGGTTTTCTTCAGATTGGTGAGTTTGCTCTGGAATTTTTGTCGAAATCCCCAGTATTTCATATGCTGATTTTTGTTTCAGTTCTTCCTGGATTGAATTTTGATTTCTTTGGGGATGTTTGATTGTTCTTCCATAGCTGAGGCTGTTTGATGTCACTTTAGTTGCCCCTTTCGAATGAAATCAAGACAGACTTCTGTCACTGTTCCATTGCTTCTTTGTCCGAACAAATTGATAGACTGTGTAGAGAATCAAAATGTGCTTCTCTTTCTGCAGATGCTTACGATCCACTCGATCCTAACGGGAATATTACAATCAAGTGGGATATTAAGAACTGGACGCCCGATGGATATATCGTAAGTATTTGATTTGATGTTTTGTGAAAAAAAAGTTAAATGTTATGTGTACTATCAAAAATTTCAATCCGTTAACATTGTGTGTAGTGTCGTAAATATTTGATTTGATGTTTTGCAAGACAAAGTTAAGGTTACGTGTACCGTCAAAAATTTCAATTCGTTAACGCTATGTGTACTGTGGTAAGGATTTGATTTGATGTTTTGCGACAAAAAATTAAGGTTATGTGTACTGTCAGTCAAAAATTTCAATCCGGTAATGTTAAGTATTTGATTTGATGTTTTGCGAGAAAAAGTTAAAGTTATGTGTATTGTCAAAATTTTCAATCCGTTGTGTATTGTCGTAAGAATTTGATTTGATGTTAAAGATAATATGTACTGTCAAAAAATTCAATCGGACCTCAAAACTATGTTGCAATAACATGGGGTTCTTTGAACTCCTAAAAATCCCATTTTGGCTATCAATCGATTGATAATTTCTCTGTTTCGACATCAGGCTTCCGTTACCATCGTTAACTATCAAAAATTTCGACACATTGAGGCACCAGGATGGCGACTCGGCTGGGCTTGGGCGAAGAAAGAAGTGATTTGGGACGTGGTTGGCGGGCAAACTACCGAGCAAGGAGATTGTTCGCGATTCCAAGGAAACATTCCACATTGCTGTAAGAAGAATCCTACGGTCGTCGATTTAATGCCGGGAACGCCTTACAACAAACAAGTCGCGAATTGCTGCAGGGGCGGAGTCATAAGCGCCGCCATCCAAGATCCTGCGACAGCTATCAGTTCGTTTCAGCTGAGTGTTGGGCAGGCCGGGACGAGCAACAAAACTGTCCGTTTGCCCGAGAATTTCACCCTGCTGACTCCCGGCCCCGGCTACACTTGTGGCCCGGCCAAAATAGTTGATCCGACGAAATTCCCTTCGCAGGATAAGAGGAGGTTTACGCAGGCGCTAAGTAAGTTTCTCGGTATGGTGGCGTTTTGCTTTTATTGTTGATTTGATTTAGGATCCGACTCCGGCTGTGTTGTTTGATCGTTTGCAGTGACGTGGAATGTTACTTGCACTTACTCGCAATTCCTCGCCCAAAATGCTCCAACGTGTTGCGTCTCGTTGTCTGCGTTTTATAATCAGACGATTGTAGGTTGTCCGACTTGCTCTTGCGGATGCCCAAAGATCGCTCAACCGGGGAGCTGCGTGAAGTAAGTATTTGTTTATTCGTTGTTGGAGGATTATATAATAGATAATTAATGATGCATTTTTTACGATTTAAACTTTTAGATGAGATAGTCATATAATATATAGTATTAGAGCGAGAGATTTTGTGTTTGAGAATTTTTGGATGAGATGACCATTTAATATGGGATTAGAATCGGAGTTCTGTGTTCGAAAACTTTTAGATGACATAGCCATTTAATATGATATTAGAGCGGGAGGTTCCGTGTTCGAGAACTTTTAGATGAGATGGTCGTTTAATATGATATCAGAGCGTGATGTTCCGTGTTCGAGAACTTTTAGATGAGATGGTCGTTTAATATGATATCAGAGCGGGAGGTTCAGTGTTAGAGAACTTTTAAATGCGATGGTCGTTTAATATGATATCAAAGCGGAAGATTTTGTGTTCGATAACTTTTAGATGAGATGGACGTTTAATATGATATTAGAGTGGGAGGTTCAGTGTTTGAGAACTTTTAGATGAGATAATCGTTTAAAATATGATATCAGAGCGGGAGGTTCAGTCTTCAAGAACTTTTAGATGAAATGATCGTTTAATATGATATCAGAGCGGGAGGTTTAATGTTCGAGATCGATCAAATTATTTGGATCGATCTTTCGATGTTGTTTTCTTTTGTTTCAGCTCCGACTCTCCTCGCATAGCTTCGGTTGTTCCAAACGATCCGAACAATCCAACGCCTATTCTCCGTTGCACCCGCCACATGTGCCCGGTGCGAGTCCATTGGCACGTCAAATTGAACTACAAGCAATATTGGCGCGTGAAGATCGCCATCACGAATTTCAACTTTGCGAAAAACTATTCGCAATGGAGCCTCGTCGTGCAGCATCCTAACTTCGACAACCTTACGCAGATCTTCAGCTTCAACTACGGATCGATCTCAGAATACGGCGTCATAAGTAAGCGACCAATTCGTACAAATTCGAATGTATGCAAATTGCGCGCGCCGAGTTATTGATCTAACAATTTATCCGTTTGCAGATGACACAGCGATGCTATGGGGCGTCAAGTATTACAACGACTTGCTGATGCAATCCGGCCCGGCTGGCAACGTTCAATCGGAGCTGTTGTTCGGGAAGAACAAAGGCTTCACATTCGACAAAGGTTGGGCCTTTCCGAGAAGGATTTACTTCAATGGCGATAATTGCGTGATGCCGCCGCCAGATAGCTACCCGTATCTCCCGAACGCCGCGGCAGCGCCGCCGTTGATGGCTGCGACGATGAGCATTATCCTGTGTTTGGTGGCGCTCTTGATACATTTTTAGGATATGATTTTGTAGGATATGACAATGTTTTTATACTCTCTCTCCTATAAAACCACCCTAAATTTTTTATACTCACGAAGAGCACAGATTACGTTTTGATTGTAGATTTTTAAATATTAATTTATAGTAAAAAAAAGATAAAAATGCCTTTATTAGTTAGATGTGTTATAAAAATGATGATATTCGTATAATATATAGTAAGTTGCAAGAATATTTATTATGTTAGGTAGGTAATACAATTACTAAATTATAAAATAGTATCATTGTTTTAGAATGGATAAAGATTGAAAATGGTATCCTTTTTATGGGAACGAGTATTAAAATTATATTAATTTATAGTAAAAAAGATAAAATTATCCTTATTAGATTGTGTGATATAAAAATAATATTATTTATGTAATATCTTAAAAGTCGGATATTGATTACGATAGATAGACAGTACAATTATTTTAAAAACTACAAAAATAAAAATAGTATTATTTTTATGAGATGTGCCCAAATAATAGTCTTATTTGGTCTTAAAACAATAGTCCCTTCTATTTTTGGTAACTAGCAATTTTCTTAGAAAATTATCACAATAATTATATAAAGTAGAAGCATTTTGATATTTTAAAAATACTTTTATACATGCTATCAATATAATACTATTATTCATTTTTTTGTGTCCATCTCAAACGTACATATTTTGGGACGGAGAGAGAGTATTATAGTAATGGAAAATTACCTGACTGTTAAGAGGTCGTGGCGGCTCCGGCGGCGGCAGATCGGATAAGATTGCCGGAGAAATGAATGGAAGATTTTGAGGAGACGAAAAGAGGGGGGAAATCCCGGAGGCCGTAGGAATGGGTGGAGTTGGAAATCGGCGGCGGAGGCGGCGGCGGATGTGATTTCCAGCCCACCAATCCCGACGGATTCCGGCGGCAATCAGCCCCCAATTTGAGGCCTCTAGGTGGTTATGTGTTAGGTATGGAGAGTGGGTATATAAAGAAATGGGGAGTGGAGATGATTGATGATATTATTGGATAGATGGATGGATGGATGGATAAGGATGACGTGATGCGGCGTGGAATTGTCGGAAAACAGCAGCTGCGTACGTTGTAGTTGTTCTGTTTAATTTAGGGTGTGTTGTATGGGGATTTGGATTTTGAGTTGGGATTTGAATAGTACAAATTTTAAATTTGAATATTTGTGTGATGCGATATCAATAGGTGTTAATGTGATATTTCGAATGTAAAATTAATTTTTAGTATAATATAAAAAATAAAAGATGTTTGATTTGATGTTTTTTGGAGGAAAAAAATGGGATGAATGTGACATTATTAATACCTTTTCATCATTTTTTTCACAATAATTACATAAATCAGGACATTTTGATATTTTAGAAATACTTTTAGACTCATTATTAATATAATACTATTATTCTCTAATTCTCGTGTCAATTCCAAATATTTTTATTATTTTGGAATTGAGAGAGTATGATATTTTGTGAAATAAAAAAATTTGATATAGTATGTGTTGTATGGAAGTTTTTCATTTATTTATTAATTTACAATAATATGAATGGAATGAAATTTGAATGAATTTACAAAATATATTGAGCCTAGATATATTTTAAAATTTGAAATGAAAATAGATATATAATATTGTGGTTTTTAACTCAGAGTAAATTCGAATACATAAATAGAGCGTTAATAATTACGGCTTTTTTATATTGATTTTTCTTTAAATAAAAAAATTATTATATAATTTTCACAATTTATTGTAAAATTACATATTTTTTTTTTATAAAATATTATTGATTATTTAAATTAAAATTAAAACATGCCTTTATAAAACTCGAAAAGCCATTAAAATAAAGTCAAAGTCAAGGTCAAACATCGTATCCTTTGCTTTGATCCAATCGCTAATTAAGGTCTTACTATGCTATGATACGCTAAATATTCTGAATTTATTATTAGTATTCGATATGGAATATATGTTTGTTTGTTGTTTCTCATTAGATTTTTAATTATTTTTTATTAAAAAAAATATTAAATTGAATACTTTTTATATTATAAAAAGATAAGTTTATATTAACATTTTTTAAACTCATCTCTCAAAATAAAATTCAAAATGACTTATTACTATATATATTGATGATATTATTTAATATATGTATAAAATATAATTCCAAATAAATAGTAGATAAACGGAAATAAAATAAATATTTGTATCATATATATATATATATATATTTAAATTTACTGAATAATTATATTGAATTGTAAAATATTATTTATAAAAATTTAAAAATAAATACATTTATAATGAATTACTCCCTTCTTCCATTCCAAACACCATGCAATATTTCTTTTTTGATATGTTAAAATACTCTGCAATATTTTTAAAATAAGAAATAATTAATTGTGTTTAATCTTTACATAATCCAAATAAAAAAATAAAATATATATTTCCGTCTCTATCACATCACCTAATTTCTAAATTATCCTACTTGATATTATCCACTTAAAAATTCGTGCCAAAAACAAATATTGCATATTGTTTAAAGCGGAAGGAGTACCATTTAAAAAAAATAAATAAATAAAAAATTAGGTGGTAATAAGAATAGTGTTGTGGATGAGGAATATGCGAATATTCTAGAAATGATTAATGCATGTTCCTATCTGAGCACGTGCAGGTTGTACCTGGACGGGTTGTAGGGACGGATGCATACTCGTCACATGACAACTATTATAAGTTACATGTATTAACATGATACGTATCGTATATGCGGAATACTGACGTGGTTCACAATGATTTCACTTTAAATTAAAATTAATTTTTTATAAATATATACATATATTTATAAAAAATGAAATTAAAAATACTATTAAACAAAAATTCAAATTCATTATTCATTTCAAATCAGTTTCAAATTATAGTGAAATAAATAAACAGATTTTGTTTGTGCATATATATATATATATCTAAATTTATTATTAATATTTTTTCAAAAATATAATCAAATATATATATTGTTTAACAAAAACATCACATTACATATAAATTTTATTATTATTATTACTATTTGCTTAAATCTCAAAAATTTTAATTTTTCAAATTTTTTTCTTTTTTATCTAAACAGTGAGATTTAACATATGTGTTGCATATAAATACGTGCATTTCATTTTTATCACGTGTTGATTAAATCTAATAAAAATAAAGCCTTTATTTTATTGAGAATTATTTTATATATATATATATCACACAATGTATTCTATTAAATATATATAGGTAAATATATTTCATTTTTAGGTTTAAAAATATTTGGGAAATTTACATTTTAAGTGCTATTGCTGTTGCAGTTCTCGGTGCCGGCCCTACACGCGCGTATTTTGCTCGTGATTTTTGCCCATATATAATTTTTAAAAAATAATAGAAAAATTACGATAGGTTAATTAATTAATTAATTAATTAATAGAGAGGTTTTAATAAAGATTTGATCGAATCTTCGACATTGACTTTAAGAGTAGCATGATTTTTATTAATTATATTCTTCGTATCAATGTCGCTTTCTAAAAGATTATTGTTAAATTTTTTTGAATAAATTATGTATGCATTGGTTCTATTTTAAGTTAGATATATAAAATTATCTTATATAAAATTCAATGCACAAATTATAGTTCTGTTTTTTTTTTTTTTTCTCTTTATTTATTTATTTTATTTTATTTTTTATAACCATAGCAGTTTTATATAAAAATACATGATTTTATATTACGAAATATTATATTCAAACAATTTTTTTTAATTTTTTATAAGATTCTAAATTAATATTATGAAAATATTCACATAAAATGTATTTGTTCACTTTTATTTACAGAACTTTGGGCCTTTGTCAGTTTTGTTTATACATACAATTGGGAAGTTTTTAAGGCCCAGAAAGATTAATGTATGCACAATTATATTTTTATTTGTTTATGTCCTATTCAAATATGTGGGAAGAAAATTGGGAAACTGTATATACATTTATATATATATATATATATTTTATAATATTTATAAAAAATGGTATAATCTAAAAAACAATGTGACCAAACTCTTTGTAATTAGCCTAATTAAAAATATTTTAATATTAGCTTAGGGACTATTTTTATGTAATATAAAATATTTGTATAAAATGAATGAAAATGACAATAAATATATATATATATATATATATTTGAGTGGTATGGACAAAAATAACAAAATATATAAATTTGAGTGAAATAAAGATAATTAAAAGATATTCTATTTGTCTGTAGAATTTAATTTATTATCACTTTTTCCTTTAGTCTCATTAGTTAAATTTATTCTCATTACTTACTATTCGTTTGGATATTGTTTTTCTAACTTTTGTAGATTTCAATTTTTCAAAAATCAATTAGTTATTTTATGCGATGTTTTGTGAAAATAAATAAGTATTTGACATAGAATTTTTTATTTTTAAAAAATATATATATATTAGTATTAATAAATAATGTCAAAACTGATCTTCGTCGAGCCTTTCAATTTATTCACACACTAACGCGCTACACAATAGAATCATGAGATTATTATAGAAGAAAAGCAAGAAGGGCCGGCAAGAGAATCTTGTTCAATTGACGATGTATATAAGGTATGTGGTATAACTAAAAAAAACATTTTAAAAAACTTGTTCAATTATCGACGATATATAAAGTATGTTGTATGTGTTAGAATATGTGGAAAAAATTATAAAATTGTATTCTACGAAAATAATAATACAAAAATATACATACTAGTGAGCTCAGGGCAAAACTAAAGTAAATAATAGAAAATAGATATTGATATCTAACAATATGATTTAAAAATAAATTTTTTTTTGTTCAATTGGAGATGAATAAAGTCGAGTTGCACAATGCAATGTAATTACCGATGCGAATAGAACACACACGCCTCGCCGGACCGGGCGCATTATTGGTGATGCATGTCCCGAATTTCTTATGATCGATCTAATTAAACACGACCATGTATGTACCAAGTGAATTAATTAGGTAGCTAGCTAGCTACGTATGAAAGCATGCCCTCCCAAATTGGACCTCATCATTTATATTTACACTATAAATTCATTTCATTTTAATTAATTTTATTTGTAACACCAAACCGATATCGAATTCAGACAAAAAATTCTTTATCGTGCCCATGACTATTTGCATCTTTACCCAACAACCTGGTTGGTTGCTCAATGTTGACAATATAATATATATATATATATAGGAAGTTCAATACAATTCTGTTTATATATATATTTAAAATTTTGGGTAAACTGTTTTTTTAAGTCCGTAATTGGACCCCTTTATCATTTTATTCCTGTAAGTGGAGCATGTCGTAAACTAGTCCTATAAGTGAAAATTTTTTGCTGTTTTAGTCCTCCGGCGCCAGAGACGCCCGCATGGCTCGCCGGAAGTGACGTATCCGCCAGGTCAGCGACACCTGGCGGACACGTGGATTTATTTTTTTTTTTAATTTTTTTTTAATTTTTTTAATTTTTTTAATTGGACCAAATACAAAAAATAAAAAAAATACAAATAAAATTTAAAATAAATTAAAAATAATTTTTTAAAAAAATTTAAAAAATGAAAAAAAAAATAAAAAATCCACGGACACGTCACCTCCGGTGAGCCACGCAGGCATCTCCGGCGCCGGAGGACTAAAACAGCAAAAAATTTTCACTTATGGGACTAGTTTGCGACAGGCTCCACTTACAGGACTAAAATGATAAAGGGTCCAGTTACGGGACTAAAAAAACAGTTTACTCTAAAAAATTTTAATACTATTTATTAATAGTATTTTTTCTTTAAAAAAATTATATAAAATACTTATCAGATGTTTTGAGAGAGAAAAAATATATTTGATGTGATATTTTTTAAAAAAATAAATAGTATCGAATGAGTGAAAGTTGGTTGTGTAATCAAAGCCCCAAATCATACTTGGCTACCAATTAATTAGTACCATATGGAATAATCATGGGTTCAATTTTTTCCAATTTTTGTTGTCGATTATTGTGTGTGATTGTGATGGCGTTGAAATTTATTGAGTAGAGTTGAAAATTATTGAGGAAAATTCAATCTATTTGACATGGATCAATGCGTACATAATCACAAAATATTCTTCTCATTTTTCAAAAATTATTATTCTATCCGCCCCCTATAAAAGTGTCCATGTTAGTGTAGACTGAGAAATTTAAAAAAAATATCGTTAGTAAATAATTACAAAATATATTAGTAAAAATAATTATTTTATTACTGTTTTTTCCTATCCGGTCTATTACTAGTTAGTTTTTTTTTTTTTACTATACAAATATTACGACATTCCATACACATATATATATATATATATTTTTGATAAAATATAGTAATATTCAACTACTATTTAAATACAAATCCAATTGTCAAACGAAACAAATCCATTTAGTGCAACATGCATACGTCCCTACAGACTCGTCGACACGTACGAGAAATTACACCTAACAAACTACAATAATATATATAAGTTTTGTGTTGTTACAAGGTCGCTTTCGATAAAAGCTTGAGTCGAGTTTTGTCTTCGAATCTGAAAGCTGGAGGAGATATCGAATTAGGTGGTTGGTATCCAGTAATTTGAATAGCATTAATGAAGGTATACTAACTTATAGCTGTTTTTGTAGTATTTTAAATAGTTTAGAATGTTTTGAATTTTAAATTCCATAAATAACAAAATTGGTTGCAAATAAAAGTATATATATATATATCTTAGATGCCATGCTTTTGAAAAATAATTTACATTATTAATAAAGATTATACTACACAAAAAAATTGCAAGATAAATGTTTTTGAAGTAAAATAAATATCATTCGAGTCATTTTCCGCGATTACAAGATCCTTAAATTAATCATATAAAGCAACGTACGTAGATGGGCATGTATTTTTAAGATTTTAGTTTGAAGGTATCTCATGTAATATAAATAAGTATTTCTTCATAGCATTTTGAATTGATTTTTTTTTTTTTTTTTTTTTTTGTACTCCCTCCGTCTCAAAACTAAGTATTCATTTGTTTTTTCACGTAGTTTTAGAAATATTAGCATTATATTGAGATATAGTAGGAATAAAGTAGAAATGACTAAAATAACCTTATTAGTATGTGTGAAATAAAAGTAAAGACATTTGTGTAATATATTGTAAGTTGTAAGGATATTTGTAATGTTAGGTAGATAGTACAGTTATTAAAAAATGAAATGGATACTTTGTTATGGGACAAACTAAAATGGAAAAATGGATACTTTGTTATGAGACGGAGGGAGTATAATATACTAAACAATTTTTTTTTTTTTTATGAATAGTGTGAAATCAAAATTAAATTTAAGGAACAAGATGTAGCCTCCCCCTACCCCAAATTCAACCAATACATACATCCATACACACACATATACATTATATATATATATACACACACATACATACACAAGTGTGTGTAAGGATAGAAGCCAAGAATGGCAGGGTTGTGTGCAAGCCATTCTGCTGTTCGTGTTCGTGTCCGTGTTCATTCTCGGGCTCGTGTCCGGTCGCCTTTCCATCCGTGCAATGTCAAGGCTGCAACAGGTTCCAAATTGGTCGAAGAGAAATCCGAACTTTCAAAGAACTTTTTCTTCACAAATAGCTTAACCGCGGAGGCTGAAGAATCCGGGAACACCGTGATGGTAGTGGTGGATTCTACCTCCGAGTCTAAAGGATCTCTCGAGTGGGCGCTTTCCCACGCCGTACAAACCCCCCGGGACACCATTCTTCTTTTTCATGTCGCCAAACAAGGTATCGATGTGTTTAGATTTAGAAAGGATCATAAGGTCTATTTACTTGCGTTTTGAATTTAATATTTTTTGAGATGAAAACAGTTACTTAATTGACATTTCGTATGAAAAAATATAGTATTTTATTGGTTAATTGAAGTAGGTAAGAGTTTTTGACATTTTTGCCCTTTGACTTAGTAATTATATGTGTAATAGTATGTTTGTAATTTAAGTAAAAATTAAGAGTATTTTGGTATTAGTGTATGATTATTTTTTTTTAAAATAAAAAAATACTTTGAAGTGGGATAAACAAAAATAATAAAAATTATAACTTGAATTGAGACGGAGAGAGTATATATTTTTAATATAATATTTTTAAAAATAAGATCAGTATATTAAATAGTACAAAAGTACAAGTAAACATTGGGATACCTTGAAATCGACATAGGTAAGTAGGTAAAGAATACTCAAAGTGAGCATCTTTTCATTTGAGTAATTTTGAAAAAGATCGGCTTATGTTATTAAAAAATATATTTAAATATTTGTGAGGTTATTCTATGTAGAGATTTGTCGCTTTTCTAATTCATACTCAAAATTTTCCATTTTTAGATGGGAAAAGTAGGGTGGAAATAAGGCAAAAGGCGTACGACATTCTTCGATCCACAAAAAACACATGCCAATTGAAAAGACCAGAGGTTAGCATAGTTCACAACGCTAAGTTGCAAAATTTTAATGTTTCATCACACGACAATAGCGAGTTCATATGCTACATTTTATCGCTAAATCTCATATATATATATATATATATTAATTTATATTTTATCCACCGCGGAATAGGTGAGAGTTGAGATGGCCTACCGAGAAGGAAAGGAAAAGGGAGCAACCATAGTCGAAGAGGCAAACCGGTTAGGCGTGTCATTGCTAGTCTTGGGACACCGTAAACAATCATTCTTAAGGCTTGTCCAAACAATTTGGACAAACAAAAAATCTCGGATCAACCGGGTTGTTGATCATTGCATTCAAAATGCTAAATGCATGACAATTGCAGTTAGGCGAAAGAACTCGAAATATGGAGGGTACTTAATCACCACAAAACGACACAAGAATTTTTGGCTTTTAGCCTAGCAATCTCCGCGCGCGCGCGCACACACATACATACATATATATATATATATATGTATGATTAGGTTATGGTTGTAGAGTAGTTTCATGTGTAAGATGATCATCTCAATTGTATAAAACACCATGGAAGAAGTGTGAACAATTTCATTTGTAGTTGCTACAATTTTTTGGGGCCCTTTGAGTGATGAACTTTGAAGAAACGACAAAGATAATGAATTGGTTTAGGCATCGAGAGCCCATTTTAAAATCGTGATAAAAATGCATACTAAAAAGACGATAATTTGGTGATTCAGTTCAATTAAATTGGTCAATGTTTGGAGGTGAAAAAGACAAATATTTTTACTAATATTTTCGAATGTTATTATAGAAAAGAATGCAACAAATATATAGAGATCTTAGATTAAAAAAAAATCTAGTAGTCAATAGCCCAGAAACAACAGGTTTGTTAGTTTATGGGATTTTACGAAAATTTACTATTTATCAAATTTTTTTTCCAAAAATTATCATATCAAACACATATTTTTTTATTTTTTATATTATATTAAAAATTAATTTTACATCCAAAACATCACATCGTATAACTATTACAATTCAAATTTTTTACTATTCAATTTCTAACTCAAAATCAAAACCCTCAAATAAATAATGTTTAGTAAGGGGTCGCCTGATAGTGTGGGTCACGGATTTAAACCGTCAATGCCTTCGAATCTTATCTCGAACAAAAGTGATATAATTTCAGTATTTGACATAATTAAAATTAAAGTAAATAAATATTAAAATTTGAAGGGCATTAGAAAAAATTTGAATTATTTATATAAAAAAAAAACACTACATAATAATTTCATATAATATTTACGTTCACTTATGAAGTAAATATTTTTTTTATATACAAAATTTAATAAATATTGTATTTTAATGATAGTTGGTGATAATTATGTAAAAACTATTTTTCCTTGATATATAAAATTAATGTAAGAATATTGATGTAAATAAGTATAAACGTCAGGGTATTTGTAATGTATAGTAGATTTATACATTCTAAAAAAAATGAAATATATATTTTGTATTTGAACAACTAAAAATGACACAATATATACTTATCAAATAAATAGGAAAAAAAATGTATTTTTTTATTATATTAAAAACAATTCTTATATTTATAAGTTAGGTAAATGGTTACATACTTTTTAATTTTATTGAAAACAATAATTATATTTATGAATTAGGTAAATGGGTACGTATTTTTGAATTTTATTGAGAAACAATTCTTATATTTATGAATTAGGAAAATATGTACGTATTTTTTAATTTTATTGAAAACAATACTAATATTTATAAATTAGGTATGTGTATGTATTTTTGAATTTTATTGAAAACACTTCTTACAACTCTATCATCTTTTAACAAATGGAGTATCATAAATATATATCACATATACCTTATTTTATTCTAAATGATTTTATATTAATAATAAATTAATACCCCTTCCGTCCCACTTACAGTGTTCACATTGCCATTTTGGTTCGTCTCACATCTCATGTTATTTTTGTTTTTTTTTTAAAAATTATTACACACTCTAATCTCATTTTAAAATTTCTAATTTCTAATTTTTTTAAATTTTAATTAGACTAAATATTTATCTTAATTTTAATATATAATTATTTATTTTATATGATAATTTTTTCTACTAATATATTTTTCAATTATTTACTAATTATACTTATCTTTAATTCTCGTGTCTACAGTAATTGTGGACATGATAAATGGGACGGAGGAAGTATAACTTTTTTATTTTTTTATTTTTTTATTTTTTATGTAAACTTTGATTTTTAAGATTCGTATTAATTATATTTATATTAATAAATTTATAAGATTAAATTAAATTGATTATTTTTATTAAATATATTAAAGTAATAATTTCTTTTCATATTATCAACCACATGATTTATTACATACTATTTATAATAAAAAAAAATTATCCAAAATAAATCTCCTTACTAAGATTTCTTCCAAAACTTATCTAAACAGTGCTTATTATTTATGGATTAGGTAAATCTACAAAGTAAGCATCCATCGTCTAAGTCCCCAACAATTAATAGTAAGGGTCTGTTTGTTCGGGGATTGGATTAGATTTTCACTATTCATCTTATTTTTTTCCCCAAAAAAAAATATCAAATCAAACACCTATTTTTCATTTTTTATATTATACTAAAAATCAATTTTACATTTAAAACATCACATCAACGCCTATTTATATCACATCATACAACTATTTAAATTCAAAATTTTTACTATTCAAATCTCAACTCAAAATTCAAACCCCAAGCAAACACACCCTTAACTTTATTTCCATATATTCCATACCTTCACTTATCATACCAACTATATATACACATAGTTTTTGCAATATAAATATATATATATATACTATATATATTCTTTGATTTTATAATTCATTTTTGTGAAGTCGATGGAGAGAAAGGCTTATGCACTTATTGTCTTAGCGTTTCTCGTCTTCATGAGTTAGTCTCATTTATCTCATCAAAAAAATAAAAAATAAAAAATAAAAAATAAATCGTTATCATTATTGTGAAATTACTTTATAGAAGTAATTTTAGCTCATAAAATATTATGCTTTTTTGACAATATTATCTGTGCCATATTTTTAACCGATGCCAATAAAAGGGCACAAAAGTAACTTTTTTAATGCAAATTTTGTATATAATAAACGACAATAATTAATTAAACATGTGTTGCAAAATTTTCATCTGAGTTACTACTTTAATTTTGTACCTTCTTTAATTTGTTCTATAAGGAATGAATCGAATCGACATTTAATCACTTTAATTTTGTACCTTCTTTAATTTGTTCTATAAGGAATGAATCGAATCGACATTTAATCACGAATATTATTCGTGTTTGCTAATGCAGGCGAATAATATATATTTGAATTACAACAGTAAATTCTAGTCCCAACAAAATAATTTTTCTAATAATAAAATTTATTAAATGTATGGTCACAATATCATTGTATTGGATTGAGATTTAAATAGTAAAAGAATTTGAATTAAAATCGTTGTATGAATTGATATAAAAAAAAATATTGATGTGATATTTTGAGTATAAAATCAATTTTCAGTATAATACAAAAAAATAAAATACTAGTATTTGATTTGATATTTTTTGAAAATAAAATTTGTATTAATAGTGAAAATCTTTCAAAATTCTTCAAACAAACACACCACTAAACGAATTATGCATAGCAGGTAAAAGACCAAAAGAAAACTTATAATGTGACGGTGACAAACTCACCCCTCGTACCACTGTATATTATATACAATATAACCATCTATCCATTTTTTCTATCTTTAGTCTGTCCCATAACAAAATATCTATTTTCCTTTTTAGTAACTGTACTATATACCTAACATTATAAATATCTTTTTAATTTATAATATATTACACAAATATTATTACATTTCTATCATACAATACTAATAAGGTTAGTTTAGTTTTTTTACCTTTATTTTTAATTCATTCAAATATAATATTAATATTTTTAAAATTCCGTGCAAAAGTAAATGGATGGATAGATACGAGGGGGAGAGAATATAATATATTATGTACAATGTATTTAATATATATATTATATTATAATTGTAATATTGTGTATTTTGTATATAATTATAATGTATTATATACAATATATTGTAATATACAATATAGTGCATAATGTACAATATATTATTATATATATATATATATTGATCCCAAAAAATTCTTAAATTTTACTATTTGGATTTACGATTTTGGAAAAAAAATACTATATTTGTCCATTGCCAATCTACCAATTTATTTTTTGTATATTAATATTTGAATATTAATTATTATATTATAATATAGTACAAATGAAGTCTTATAATACTAATATAATGACATTTTGTTAAAAAAAAATAAATTATATAAATATAAAAATATTTTTAATGTTAAAAACAATACAGCAAAATACAAATAATCGCTATTAAACCGCTAATGCAACCAAAAACAACCCTGTTCCTGATTTTCAATAGGCTTCGGACGAGATCAAAATTAAGGCGTGAAAGTATCATATTGTAATTTTTTTACTTGAAAAAATAAAACATAAATAATTAAATAAAATATTAGATGAAATGTTCTTCTTCTTTTCTTTTTGATGTATGTATGTATGTCTTCTTGTTTTCTTTTTCTTTTCCACTTCATGATAAATATTTTTTATACAGCATTTTTATGAAATTTATAAATAATAATAATAATAATAATAATAATAATAATAATAAAGCAACATCCATCAATAATTAATTTTTCTTCTTCTTCTTGCTTTATTATCAATTTTTTATTTGTGTACTTCATTAAAAAAAACTATTACTAAACAGTAACACATAACAACAATAGTAATCTCAAATTAAAATCTCAATTTACTATAAAAATACACTATTCACTATTACAAAATATTACATCAAAAATATTATTTAAACTACAAACAAACAAATCATATTTTTATATTTTAAGGTGAAATAATTATTGAATGTAGTGATTTAAATTGAAAATTAATATCAAACATAATGTTTTTAAGTGAAATTAATACATAAAAAAAACAAATCAAAATGCAAATGTTTTCCAACATCAATTGTTCATAACAAGACGAACATTATTGAGAAAGCGAATAAATCAAGGAAAAAATACAAATCGATCCACGATTAATAGCAAGGAAGAGGATCGTATTTACAAAGGCACATTGTATTTGAAAACTCGGTATAACACTGGGTGTTGTAGACAGTCTTGTCCGAATGCTCCCTCATGCATCTATCCCTACACGCAAACAACGCGTCCGGGCCACAATCATTTGTCGGATAAAATACACCGCAAACATCCTTATCGCTGAGTCCCAATCCGTGGTCAACTGCATTAGTGATAAATTTTTATTAATTAGCTAATTATACCAAAAAAAAAAAAAATGTAAGAATATATATATATATATAT